ATTGAATGATAGGAAAATGATCTTGGTATGGGATTAAGTACAAAAGGCAAGTTAGAAAACAGTAAGTACAGCTTGATCCCAATTATGTCATAAATACATGTTTTGTAGAAGACTGACGGGCTAAACACCCAAGCGCTCACACTTTTCTATAAAGAACACACATTACTTTTTTTATAACCAGAAAAATAAAATGTTTGAAAAGCACCTTACAGATTTCAAGGCTTAGCCCAGGTGTGACTTGTTCCAAGCCCTGCCAGATCCCCAGCTGACTGTGGCCCTCCTGCCCTGTGTCAGCTCCCGCCTGCATCTCCCTGCCTCCTGAGCTCCCTATGCCCCGGGGCTGTGGTGCCTGTGGGTGCTGCTGTCTGCCTGGGCAGTGGGGAGGCTGCTCACGCCCCTGTCCCCTGCCCCCATCACCCCTGTTGCTGCACAGACAACCCTGACCCCATCCTCTCACCCATCTCCCAGCAGCAATTACAGGTTAAACTGGAGGGGCTAATCAGCTGCTCATTCTACCCAGAGCCAACTAATTACCAGAAATATGTTGACGGTGCTAACTGGGCTTCGGAGCAAGGCCTCGTGTCTGGGAAGGAAATCCAGGCCTCTGCTTCCGCCAGCTTCAGTGTGAGGACAGGGCTGGCTGAGCCTCAGCCAAACACAGCTGTCACCCGATCCCTCAGGAGAAGGGAGTCCAGGCCTGCTGCCTGAAGAGCCGCCAGGCTTCTTCCTCTGAAAAATGAGGACAATCCGCCAGGCCAGCCTGCTGCCCATAGCCCACCCCACCATTCCCTCTGTTTAGCAAAGTCTTTCTGCAGCCCTCTCATGGGTGACAGAGGCCTGTCAAGAACAGGGGATTGGCCAAGATATGGGGTAGAAGTGACTTGTCCAAGGTCACAAGCAAGCCAGAGGTCAAACCAGGCAGCAACCCAGGTCCCCCTCCTTTCCCATCTCCCACTTCTCTGGGACATGCTGTTGTTTCTCCACATCCCTTCACATGAACCACAAAGTGAGAGGACTTGTCACCTCCCACATTCTGGGGATCCTGCTCCTCATGTTACAGTCTAAGAACCTATCTGCTGTTCACAGAGAGCCAAGGTCACCTGGCTGCCAGTGCTTGTTGCACAAACACACCTGGGGTCTGAGCCTCATCTCTCCCTCAAGGTGTCTGGACCCACATGCTGTCTCTGGTGTGGAACCCTGTTAAACTCCACACATTAGAGATAATGCCAGCCTCTTGACAGTTTCTTGGACTCTGATTGTCTCAGTCCACATGTTCTGGCTCCCTCCCGACCTGAAATCAGGCACACATTTGGTCAACAATGTGACAGGACCAAAGACAGAGCCCTGCAGCCTGCCCTTAGAGACCTCCCATGCCACACGGGAACCCATTAGCCGGAACTGTCCATGAAACCCAGTTGCTGTGAAGAACTTCCAAGCTGCCTGCTGGAGAGCCCTACTACAGCAAGGGCTGGTGGCAAGTGGCAGCAACCTCCTGAGCATGGCTGCATGTGGGGAGGGAGAGATGGGGAAACCCCCAGAAAGAGGGCCTCACGACAGCCTCCCCTACAGACCCCACACCCTCCATGGCTCACACCACCCCCACCCTGCCCTGCTGCCCAGAGTGGCATCTTACCTAGAGTTGGGTGGGTGTCTGGGAAGTACAGCTGGGTGGGGCTTAGCCTGAGCTGGATTCAGTTGCCCTCTCCACCTGTGGGCACTGGAGCCTCAGGGCCTGTGGGCGCAGGAGGCTGTGGGGAGAAAGAGGAGATGGCTGTCAGCTAGAGCAGGGAAGCAGGTGGTCGGGATGCAGTGGGGGCCACACCTGCAAATGGGTCTGATCCTGCCTGGTTGAGCCATTAAAAACTCAAACATCCCACACACACACTCTGACACACACACACTTGCACACACTCACACATGTTCTCTCGTTCATTGGCAAACTTATGCTTACACATATACACACACACACAGAGCACTAGCTGGGGTAGGCAGGCCTCTGGGAAGGGCAGGGTTTGTGGCCCCAGCAGGCTGGAGTCTGACTATGCCTCTCCCACCAACTGGCTCTGTGGCCCTGGGAAAGCCACTTCCCTCATCCATAAAAGGGAGATATCATCTCTCCTGCCAGGACTGCTGGGAGGATATAGAGAGAGAAGGGACACATGGCCTGGTGCACAGTAGGTGTCCAGCCAATGCCACTGCCTGCCTTCCTCCCCAGCCAGGACCCAGGAGGCAGGCCCCAGGCTGATCCCTGAGAGGGGACGATGGGCAGCACCAGAGTGCCTCTCCCTGGGCCTGAGCCTCAACTTCCGAGGCCCCAAGATCCCTACAACCCCCCACCTACTCACCCTCCCATCCCCCAACCTCTCCCGCCTTTCTTTTTTAAGGTACAGAGACAGAGTCTTGCTCTGCACCCAGGCTGGAGTGTAGTAGTGCCATCATAGTTCACTGCAGCCCAAACTCCTGGGCTCAAGTGATCCTCCCATCTCAGCCTCCCAAGGAGCTGGGACTACAGGTGTGTGTATCACCACGGCCAGCTAACTTTTTAATTTTTTTGTAAACTATGTTGCCCAGGTTGGTCTCAAACTCCTCGCCTCAAGCAGTCCTCCCACCTCAACCTCCCAAAGTGCTGGGATTATCCACGGAGTCATCATACCCAGGCATCCTGTTTTATTCCTTCATTATATATTCTCCAAGGGTTCCTCTAGACCAGACGCTCTGTCCTCTGTGAGTAGGGGAGGGTGCTAGGAAGTTCTGGCTCCTTGGAAAGGCTCTGAGGCCTCCATGGTGCAGGATATAAGCTCAGCTCAAAGTCCAAGGAGGTGAGTTAACTCCCAGCTCTCCCTCCTCCACGTGGCCCTGGGCAAAGCTTCTTCCTCTGTACCTCAGTTTCCTCAACCTCTCAGACCAAGTCCCAGATCTCTTTCTGAGCTGCTGCAAAGAGGTTTCAATCAGATCTGTGTTTCCCAAAGTAGGAGACACAT